CCCCAAAACCCCAAAACCCCAAAACCCCAAAACCCCTAAAACTTATTTCTAAATTGATATTTCTTAGATTATAAATTTCAATGACTCAACACTCCTCTTATTGGCAATGCGTCTATCAAGTTCTTTTCCAATAAACGCAATATCCCCTGCTTTCTTAACCCCAGCTTGGTCATTACCTCCTTTAAACCTTTCAGCTGCTTTATTATCAACAGAAGCACGGTTCTCCTTCAGACTTTGTTTTCGATAGTTCGAAATCTGAGCAACTTTCTGAAAATTTTCCTTGTTTTTCATAATTTTTAAATTTCTAACGTATCTTTCCTTCTCAAGATTGTTCTTATATCCAATAGAGTTCTGTGTCCTTGAATTAGCCTTCTTAGGGTCCGCACATTTCTTTCCTATGGAGAGAGATGTCTTTGGAGCCTGAACCTACTCATAACAATGATTAGAAGAAACATTGAAGGCAAAGAGAGAAGTTGAGAAACCGGTAAACATGTACAAATTAATGGAGCTAGGGTGAAGCCTTACCTCAATTTTCTTATAGAGGTTCACCGACCTCTGCCTTCTATTGGTCTTCGGCTTTAACTCTCTCAGCTTTTCCATCTTTGTGTTGTTCATAAAGGTCTCTATCCTTTTATTCCGAGAATTTATCTTTTGCATATCATCCCTGAATAATTTTACTGAATTTATGTTAGTAATAGACTTGTGGATGGGACGAGAGAAAGACTGCATCAAATTACAACTTCCTTGTCTCTCGTTAGGATTCGAAGAAGGCACCTTATAAGGACTCCCTCCAGGAACTATCTCAGGATTTGTTATATGATCCAAGTACTTATCAGTTGATTTTAATTTGTTATTCAAAGATCTAGTAGAGGAGTAAATATTATCAACTTCTTTATCATTTTCGATATATTTTGCAAGCTGAAGGTGCATACGACTGTCTCCGACCTTAGTACCAGGCATGACGATGTCCTCATTTCCATCAATTTGACTCTTCATAAGCCTGATCAACTTCCTGTTGTATCTTTTATCAAAATCTTTAAGGTTTTCATTCATATCAGACTTCTTCTGTTTACTCTTCTTCATGCTCAACTTATGGTTTTCTTTATTACAGAAAGCTGCTAAATTATTTATAAAATTGTTTCCTCCTTGATTTGTTTAGTAAAGGGTAGAGGATATGCTTGCTTTCTACAGTATGAACACCTGAATCAACTGAATATCTCTTATCATGCTGCCCTTTTATTTCCTTCCTAAGGTACTTTAGGGATGGATCACCCCAGCCATAAATATTAGCACCGTCTTCATCCTTTGTTAAGTTCTTTTGGTACTGATTAAAAGCAGCAAAATGAGAACTTTTGTGCATATTTTCGTTAATGGTATTCCATCCATTTCGACTCTGTTCGATACTTTCCTTAGCTCTTTTCTCTTTGTTTTTCTCTATTTGTTTATCAAGGTATTCCATCTGGAGCTTCTGTATATGCTTTCTGTTGATCTTTTCTCTTTTGGAAGCAACTTCTCGTAAGTGATCATGAAGGTTCACCAAATCTAGCCAATTGTTGTCTCTGATACTCTTTGTATACCTTTTCGCTGTCTTCTTAGTCTCTTTACTCTAAAGCGCTTATAATTCTCTCTACCTGTTTGTACTGAGTAGGTTGCTCAGAAGTAGCTCTTTGGTGGTAGGCGATATTATTCTCATAAACTTTGGGCATCTGATGGTGCTCATTACCAGCAATGCTGTTGTAAATAGGCCATTGCGTCCTACTTGCACTCTCCCTATACTCCCTGCTTCTGTTATTCCTGGTGCAAATTAGTCTATAAAATATCAACCCCTTCTCATCCATTAAACCCCACTTCCAAATTACCTTGTTCCCATTTGCACTAGTTTTGCCGAATAACTTCGAATTCCTGGATCCTTTGGTGCCCTTACAGCTTGACTTAATAATCTGAATTCCATCAAAAGACCCTGTCTTAATCCTGTTCATGTTTAATTTATTTTTCAATTTTATTTTAGGGAGAGGGGTTTTGGGGTTTTGGGGTTTTGGGG